CCTCCTCCTCCTCCTCCTCCTCCTCCTCCTCCTCCTCCTCCTCCTCCTCCTCCTCCTCCTGCTCCTCCCCCTCCTCCTCGCCCTCCTCCTCCTCCTCCTCCTCCTCCTCCTCCTCCTCCTCCTCCTCCTCCATTGCCCCTGGACCCTCCCCAGACCCCCTCGAGTTATGAAAAAATCACGACGGGAGGTTTTTCCCTATTTTGGGGCTTGGGGGGCCCTTACCGGCCCTCGGGACCGTCAAAAAACGACTCGGGGCGAAAAACCGGTCCCAGGGAATGGGTCGAGATCTCGGGGGGCCGACGTCATGAAAAAATCATGACGTCGGGGGTCTGGGGAAAGCGCGAGGGCTTCTGAGAGGCCGAGGATTTCTGAGAAGGCCTGCCCACTCTCACTTCATCCCTGGGCGTGAGCCAGTCCACCAACAGATGATGCGACCAGCAAGGCACGCCCTCGTCACTGCACGCCAGCGCTGGTACATGAGCGATCCCACATCCAACATCCCATCTTGCTGCATCCAACCGCTGAGCTTCAGCTCTGCCAGCGGCCACGCTGACTGTGCACAAGTCTGACACATCAGCAGCCCCCTCCTTGTACTCCTGACCCTCGTAGTCTTCTTCTTCTGCGCACGTCCATGCAGGTGTCGGAAACAATTAAGCAACACTCATGCTGAACATATAATTTAAACCTCCCTCCCCCTCCCCCCAAATGCAGTGTTGGTTTCGGATCTTCCGATTTTGGGCCTCCGAGCGGTCTTGCGAAAACCTGACAACTTTGAATTGCGGGGGAGGGGGGGAGTGTTGCTTAATTGTTTCCCTCAACCGTACCACAATCCACCGACCCTGTCGGCGTATGTGAGAGGCTCTTCTGCTTTCGTCGTCGTCGTCGTCGTCACCGCCACCCCACGTGCCTGTCCGTGGGATCTCCTCGTCAACGCCCCAGCCGAAGGGAATGCGAACAACGTCGTGATCGAGTCGAACGGAAGACCCCTCCCTCCTTTGATCCCCTTCCCGCCGAGAGGGGGGGAGGGATCGCGGGGGGGGGGGCAGAGGGGTACAGGGGTGTCCCCGAAGGGTAAAGGTGGGGGGTCCGAGGTCTGTGACCCCACCCAGTGGGGGAGCGCCCTTCCCTGGAAGAAGACTTCCCCTTCGATTCCTTGCCTTCCAAACGCCTCGGGTTCCCCGTTCAAGGTCGGCAGCACCAGCCGTGAGGCCTTCACAACCTTCGCGCTCACAACATACGGCTGAACGAGGATCCGCCACTTGTTTACACGCACCGCGATCTGTTCGACCGAACAAGGACCCTCCCTGATCGTGACCGCCCGGGCGCGCCGCCTTGAAGGCCGTGTCAGAGCTCGCCGATGCCCGTGCCATCGAGGACGACGACGAAGCGGCCTCCGATCCCCCCCTGCTGCTCGTCAGCGGGCGCCCCAAGCAACCACACGCGAATCCTACCGACCTCTGCAGGTGAGATGTTTGAATCGCTGGCTGGGGTTCAAAATTCGAACGAGGTTCACAGCAAATTGACCCTGGCGGGGGTGTCCGATACCCACACTTCGCCAGTTCGCAAGTGGTCGCAAATCCCCTGCTGCTCGTCGAGGGGCACACCTGGACCGGGAGGGCGAAGCACAACTTCTCCGCCCGGCCGCGAGGCCGGAAAGGACGGGGGCTTCCAGAGATTCTCAGCGCTGGCGGTTTGTTAGGCTAGGTCCTGCAAGCGCCGCCTTCTCGGGAGCGGCAAAGAGGGGGGTGTCCAAGAGGGGGGGGTGCAAATCATGACCGGCGGCATGTGCGCGGCCCAGCGGGGGGGCCAGGGACGTAATGAAATACGAAGAGGCGCCATGAAATCTGGGGAAAAATCATGACCCCCGCCATGATATCCACCCCCCCTAGTCATCACCCCCCTCTTTTCCGCCCCCGACCTTCGAGCCCGAGCACAGTCAGAAATGTCTCCCGGGAAACGGCGTCGGGGACCTCTGGGGCCCGCGCCCGCGGGCCAGCGTGCGGCAAGGGGCGGGGTGGCTGGGGGCGACCATCCAAGAGGGCACGGTGTTTTTTTTGTTTTTCTTTTGTTATTTTTTTCTTTTTTTTGTATTATTTTTTTATGCGGGCACGGTGCTTCTCAGGAGCCCTCCGGTCCTCCCAGAGGCCCTCCTGGGAAGCCGCAGAGAAGCGGGCTGTCCCTGTAGCAAACGGTTCTGGGCGTCCCCCCCAAAGCCGCATCCGGGGTACGCCTGATTGGGGCGCGTCTGGAGCCCCCTGCGAGACGAGGGGGGGAGGGGGGAGGGGGGGAGGGAGGGAGGGGACAAGGGGAGAGAGGGAACTGGAGGAGGAGAAAGAGGTGGTGGATACCGTCTGTGGGGATGCCGCCAGACGAGACTAACGACACCAGGCTGGGCAAGTGGGCGCGGGGCGCGCCTGCAGTCGGGCGGCACGCGTTCGCCGTCGCCGACGGACCAACGCGGCGGCACGGCGGCGGCAGCGCGACAGGCTCCTCCTCCTCCTCCTCCTCCTCCTCCTCCTCCTCCTCATCCTCCTCCTCCTCCTCCTCCTCCTTCCTCCTCCCCTCCTCCCTCCTCCTCCTCCCTCCTCCTCCCTCCTCCTCCTCCTAGCGGAAGAGGGGGCCGCAAGCCGTGGCCCGAAGGAGCGAATGGGCCGTCCAGGGCCTCCCCCGTCGGCGGACGGAGGCGCCTCTGGAGGCCTCGTCGAGCTGCGCATCCCTCGTGGAGGCAACCTGGGGCCGCCCACGGAGCAGAACCTGGAGGAGGAGGAGGAGGAGGAGGAGGAGGAGGAGGAGGAGGAGGAGGAGGAGGAGGGGTAGGGCTAGGGGAGGGGCCTGGTCTGCTGCCCCCGTCGTGGCAGCAGCCTGCGCCGCCCGCGGGGCCACTCCAGGGCCCCCGACGGCCGAGACGCCCCCGAGGGCCGACGGCGCTCAGAAGGGCTCGGCGCGCAGATGCTGGAACGCACCTCCTCCACCTCCACCTCCACCTCCTCCTCCTCCTCCCACCTCCTCCTCCTCCTCCTCCTCCTCCTCCTCCTCCTCCTCCACCTCCTCCCTCCTCCTCCTCCTCCTCCTCCTCCTCCACCTCCTCCCCCTCCTCCTCCTCCTCTCCTCCACCTCCTCCACCACCTCCTCCACCTCCTCCTCCACCTCCACCTCCACCGCGCGCGCCACCGAAGCAGCGGATGCATCTGACTTTTCCCAATGCGATCATTGAGGAAGGAGCGGGGAGGAAGGAGGAGGGGAAACAGGGAGGAGGAGGGGGGGGAGAGAGAGAGAGAGAGGAAGGGAAGGAGGGAGGCAGAGAGGGAGGGAAGGAGGGATGTGGAGAGAGAGGAGGAGGAGGAGGAGGAGGAGGAGGAGGAGGAGAAGGAGGAGGAGGAAGAGGAGGAGGAGGAGGAGGAGGAGGAGGAGGAGGAGGAGGAGGAGGACGTGGTTGTTGTGAAGCGACATTGAGTCAGGCGAACACACGAAAAAACCTTCTCCCTCGCCCTCAGTATCGGAGGAGAACTCCTCAAGGTCCGGACTCTTTCCTGGCGGCCTCGCCGAGGGGCCCGGCGCGCTCCGGGTCGCCCTCCACGGGGCCAGACGCCAGGAGCACCTCCTCGCGGGACGCGAGGCCTGCAGCCTGGCGCATGCCTGCCGGGGCGGAAGGGGGCGGGCGGAGGGAGGACGGGAACTGTCATCGGGTTCACCCTGGCCTCGCCGAGGTCTCGAGAGCCGCCCCAGACAAGGGTGTTGGTGGTAGCCCGACCGTGGAGGTGATTGCCACCTCCCCACCCCTCGTCAGCCCCAGACCCGTCCGTCGCCCCCACCCCCACCCCCAACACCCCCTCCACCCCGCGGCTCAGGATCAGGCTTTGGCGGCGGCAGCTATGCAGAAACGGACACAGACTGGGCTTCGCTGGGATCCAATCCAACCGTGTTCAGCCGGGTCTTATCAGCGAAGTGCAAGTGCACTTCGAGCTGCGTAGCTCAACGGGCCGACTCCTTCGCAAGACATTGGAAACCACTGTGCAAGTTCACATCACCCTCCGAAGCTGCACGCTTCGAGGGCCCCATCTTGGCGCGCAGCTCAGCGGAATCGTTGGCGCATGCTCCCACATCGCGATCTTGCCACTGCGGATATCCGCCACCGAGCAGCGCGCCGCTCTTGACAGCAGCGACATCAGAGATCTCGAAACTGGAACACAAAGGCGCCCAGAGATGGACCCTGGGAGCTCCCGCGGACGCCCCAGAATCGACGCCGCCCCAAAGAACATTCAGCGCCCCTTGGCAGTGGCAATGCAGTTCTACCGGCGCCATCGCACACTGCGCGAACACGAACACAGCATAGTCCTCACCGTCCGTGGCCGCCTGCCTCGGACCGTGGGTAAAGGAACAGGGCCGCAGCAGGCTGCCTGCACCTGCCCCAAACTGGTGACCTGCCCAATGATCCAGCACGCCCTGGACAGCCCTGGGGCGCCAGGCCGAAGGGCGGACCCGTCCGAGGAAATCTGCCCCGAGGGGCGGTTCGCCGAAGGCCGATGGGAATGGACGTCCGAGCGACGGCAAGATTGAGGAGGAGGAGGAGGAGGAGGAGGAGGAGGAGGAGGAGGGGGAGGAGGAGGAGGAGGAGGAGGGCGGAGGAGGAAGAGGAGGAGGAGGGCGGAGGAGGAGGAGGAGGAGGGGGAGGAGGAGCAGCAGCAGGAGCAGGGAGAAAGGAGAGGAGGGAGGAGGTGGGAGACTGAGGACAAGGAGAAGGAGGAGGAGGAGGAGAAACAAAGGAAAAGAAGAATGAGGAGAACGAAGCAAGAAAACGAGGAGACGGAGGAGGCGGAGGAGAAGAAGAAAGGGGAGGAGGAGGACAAGGAGGAGGAGGAGGAGGAAGAGGAACAGGAGGAGGAAGAGGAGGAGGAGGAAGGAGGAGGAACAGGAGGAGGGAGCAGGAGGAGGACGCGCAGCCGACCCCCGCTCCCCCCCGCCATGGGCTTGTCCGACGTCGGCGATGGCGACGACCGTGCCTGCGGGGGGGGGGGTCGGGAGCCCAGAGGTCGGCGGCGTCCAAAGTGAGAAAGTGAGAGCGTCCAAGACAAGGGCTCGCAAACGATGGCACGAGGCACGTGCGCGGACGCGAGGGAGGCCAGGGGACGCGCTGAAAGCGGAGGCCATGGAATCTGGGGACGTATCGTGGCCTCGGCCATGAGATCCCCCGAGGGGAAGCGTCAGGGGGGCACCAGCTCAGGAGGGAACCATCGACCTGGCATCGGCGGTACGTCGCCGATAGCTCGGCGCGAGGCCTCCAATAGCGAATCCGCACGCTCTTGGCACGCTCCTGGGCGGGGTGGGGTTATTGGGCCCTATCGTCGATGCATGGGCGATTAGGGATCGATGCGTCCCCCTCTGAGCCTGTCCCCCCCCCGAACGTTGCCCCCCCTTATTTTCGGGCCATAGCTCGGCTCTGGCGGCCGTTTGGGACGAGCCAGACACCTCCGGAACACTGTCGGCGAGGCCAACTCCTGGCAGCCATCCCGGGGCTGGAAAGCTGCTGGGAACCGCCGAAAAGCGTTCGAGAACATGTCGAGGCAAAACGTTGCCCGTGAAATGCGATGACCCCGCCTACTCATCACCCCCCTCTTCCAGCCCGCGTGAATCAGGGCCCTGATTTCGGATCCGCCGTACTGTGGTTGATCGTCCGATCTGAAGCTGCGTCAGAAGCGCATCCCAAAAGATGCGCAACGAATAAAAGCGAAACAGCATCGAGGCAGGTAGTTCCGCGAACGCACGGCGGAAACATCCACGGTCAAGCAGGGCGGAAATCAGCACCAAAGGAGTTTGACAAGTAGCGCGGGACTTTGCGCCCTACCCATCGGACGGAAGCAGTAGGTAGAAACATGAAGTAGGAAGGCGTTGGAAATAGATTGGGTTTCCGCCCGCCTCCTGAAGAGGAAGGAAGAGGGAACACCACTCGACTCTTGAAGTAGGAAGGCGCTGAGAGTAGATTGTAATCTGGGAATCCAAAAATACCTACTTTCAACGACCGATGGGTACTCACGAAATATCTGGAGCCAGGGGGGACTCGAAATTCGAGGTTCGAGGCTTCTGGGCGCTCTCGTCGGCCTTCGGCGGTTCTTCGGCCGCGGGATGCCCTCCAGCGGCTGCACCTCACCGAGAGCCTCCTCCTCCTCCTCCTCCTCCTCCTCCTCCTCCTCCTCCTCCTCCTCCTCCTCCTCCTCCTCCTCCTCCTCCTCCTGCCCGGATCGTCCTGCACTGCCGCTGGAAAACCGAGCTATGATCTATTCGGCCGCTTGCCGAACGACGCAGCAACGGCCTGGATCATTCCTCCTGCCGCCTTGCTCTTTCTCCGTCCTCTTTGCTTCCATCCCTTCTTGACTGGGGTGCTATGGGGGGGCACTGAACCACACGCCGCCACCGCAAACAAATGTGTAAGAAGTTTCGCCTGCCGAACAGGTTTCCTGCGTAGGGATTGCATCCGCCGAAGATTAATGTTCGATTGGATCGGCAACTACTGCGCGCCTCAACTCCATGGACAAGTGGGCCCTCGCATTTCCTGAACACATCATGGGCTCGAGATATGACAGAAAACAACGCACGGCACACTGCATACCCACACCGTTCCACAACGTCGCTCTCATGAATAGGGGCCGGGGTGGGGCAAAAATCGGATCCAACAGTCGCTTGGGCCTCGTCGGCCGCAGCAGCACGGTTCAGGCCAGAAATGGAAAGAGATTCACCGTGCACGCGAGCCAATGCCACGTGCCACGAACCTGGAGACTGAAGCGACGGGCCCCATCTCGCGCATCACTTTTGGGAGAGGAGGAGGAGGAGGAAGAAGAGGAGGAGGAGCAGGAGCAGGAGGAGGAGGAGGAGAAGGAGGAGGAGGAGGAGGAAGGATTGCAAAAAGGATTGCAATCCAGGGTTGTTTTGCAATCCTTGGTTTTTTTGCAAGCCTTCGTTGTTTGCAATCCTTCTTTTTTGCAATCCTTCGTTTTTGCAATCCTTCTTTTTTGCAATCCTTCTTGTTTTTTTTGCAATCCTTCGTTTTCTGCAACCCTTCTTTTTTTTTGCAATCCTTCGCTCGAGACCGAAGCGATGGGCCCCATCAGGGTCGCCCGCCGCTCTGCAGGCCACACGCTCGCCTCCCCGCAGGCCGACCGGCCCGGGCGCGGGGGGGGAGGCTCGCGGCGGCACAGTCCTGGCCTTTACGGAGCCCCACCTCTGCAAGAAGCGATGCTGCACTGTGGTACCTCCTCCCTCCTCCTCCTCCCTCCTCCTCCTCCTCCTCCTCCTCCTCCTCCTCCTCCTCCTCCTCCTCCTCCTCCTCCTCCCTCCTCCTCCTCCTCCCCCTCCTCCTCCTCCCTCCTCCCTCCTCCTCCCTCCTCCTCCCCTCCTCCTCCTCCTCCTCCTCCTCCTCCTCCTCCTCCTCCTCCTCCTCCGCATGGCCGCCTTGACCTGAACAGACTTCCACTGTAGCGCGAGAGAGGGCTCCGCCCCCTCCCGTGCTCCGGCGTCGGCACACTCGTCCATCCAATACTGCATCCTGCTCTCGCCTTCAAGACGCGCCACCTGGGCAACCGCCATATTCGACTTCATGTGAACAGTCTGGAAGGACTGCCCTTGGACGAATTCGCGGCCCTCACTTCGAGCGCGGTCCAAACCAGGCGCCACGGATGCGCAACGGCCTGATCACTAAACACGCAAACCTCCCCAACGAACCAGGAGAGACTTGTTGCCAATGATGAGCCCCATGAGCCTCTCAATTTCCTCACAGCCTGGTAGACGGCCCAAATTTCACTATGGGCCGACGCGTGCCGCTGAACTGGCACGCTTCCGAAGATGGACTTCGACGCGCAATTGTTATCTCGATCCCAGCACATGGCGGCAAAGCCTCTCGTGCATAGTTCCTCCACGTCGGGGTCGAGCGGGCAGCCGTCGGTGGCAACCCATCCCGCGAGCAGCGCTGCCCCATTCAGGGTCGCCGCGCTCGGACGTGTCAGGCGGCTCCGCGCCAGGCACTCGAAAGCAGGTTCTGAGATCAGGCCGCGAGCCCATTTCCAATACAAGCGCTCACTGTATCGACAATGCGGCGCCTCCTTCGTCGCAGCCGTCTCTCCGAAGCGGACCACGTCTCTGAAACCTTCCGCGGATTTGGCCTCGGGATCGGACAACTGCTTGCGAATACGGGGGAATTCATCAGCATCGCATCTGAAGCATACATGCGTGAATCCCCCTTGCCCTCACATATAGCGGGCATGTTGGGCTCTCCATCCGCCCACGTTCGTAGCACATGTCCTGAGATGGGTACCCATCCAGTGCAGCTGCCCTGGCGCAGTTGATGCGGTGCCGAGCCAAATCTCCCTTCTCTTTGATCAAACCATCTGCTTCACTGGCAACAAAAACGCACTAAACGAAATGGCTTTCGACCATCGCTGGCGAGGCCCCAGTCCAGAAGCCCCCTCTTCATTATCACTATCCCTGTTCACTTCATAATTTCCAACGGCGGCATATCACGTGTGTCCATGACCTCACTCCCCTCCTGGATGCACCACGGGCTCTGCACGCGCCATCCCAGCTCATGCACATTCCAGATAACAACGCAAACTGTTCCACGCACAACTTTCGAAATATCGAATGTTGATGGGGCCGTGTCGGTAGCGCGCTGCAGCACTGCCACTGACGTCCCCAAGCTTGTGTCATAGTCTTGTAATGCTGGGGGCTGTCCCAGGCCTCTCGCAGCCATGCTCGTAAGGGGGCTAACCTTAATCGGCGCCGTCGATATTTGAGACCAACGCCCAACCGATCGCACTGGAACGACAGGCCCCCACTCCAGATCGAGCTGTCGCCTTTCTCTGCTCCACGTACTTCATCACAGCTGGCGAAGGGCCGGCGCAAGTCGCCATACACGTCACTGACGCTTTGAGGCCTTGCTGGACCACAGGTCGTATCCGTGACCACCCTCGCCATTTGAGTGGAAGTGTTTTCCGCCACCGCCCTCGGGTCACATTCACACGCTTGCACATCGCAGCTCTCTTGCAAATGCCCTGAGGCTGATAGCCAACAACAAGCCATCGTTCACTGCTGCCGCATCAAGATCTCATGATATCGAGCTCTGGGGAAATATCTGCAACTAGCTCGGGAGCTGGCGAGCGACTTGGACTTCCCTTGAAGACCTCTGGAGACCCTCCAGCGCAGCAGCCGCCCCAGCATGCGCATCAAAAATCAGCGACGACTTGGAAGGCTTCCCTCAGCTGCTTGACGTGACGGTGCCGACGAGCCTCAGCACCACATCGTCCACGAAAAAACGAAGTCGACCGTAACCCCCGGGCCATTTTGCGACGAAGTCGAGGATGGGATAGAGCACCATTTTCAAAAAAACGATTGGCTAATTTTGACCCAGGTGGCAGGCGCACAAGAGTGCACACTGCATCGGCCAACGCCTGTCCCTTCCGAACTGCACGAAGGATTGCGGAAGATCCCAAAGACAGCGCCAGCACACTCATGGGTACGCCCTGCATAAAGACAGAGGCCCAAATCAAATTCAACGATATCCATACGCCTTCTCGAGGTCCATCAATGTTGAGAGCGAAACATCAGGTGTTCCCTGCAGAGCTTCTTCGTCCTTCATCGTCCTCTGGACTGCATGTTTACTGCTCCATCCTGGTGCAGACAAATTATATAGGGCCCTGACAAGTTGTTTCTACCACGCACACACCGAGGGACTCAAGCTGCCTCCCGTATACGCACAGGCGTAGGAGAAGGGTGAGCGGACGGGCTACGGACGGGCTACGCCATCTTCTCCGCGACCTAGGAAAGCATGAGCATCTGCATGGCGGAGGGTCACCTGCTCATGCGCTCGCACATCACCAGGACGCCGCCCAAGCAGTCCAGGCCCTCGTTGTTCAGCCACGCCAGATGCCCTAAGCGAAAGCTGTCGATCCCGAGGCCAGTCTTCCACATGTGGCTGCGACGGATAACTCGCAACTGAGTGGCGTGCAAGGGCGGC